TGCATTGGATCATCACTTTGTGCCAATTAGTTATTAAGCAGTTTGAGATTAAGACGTGATATCGTTTCGTGGCGCGAAACGTATCCTTATAGATCTCCTTTTAAGTCGGAAATAAATGTCACGCCTTTTTTTCGCCGCGGAATTTTAAACTTTCCCGCCATTTCTTCATATTTTGGCCAACAGATGTTTAAACCACACACTACCTTTAAAACTAGTAATACTGAATGCTTCTTTGAAAATAATAATCGTTTTGGATTCTTATTTTTCCTTTCATTTCGTTTGTCTATTCTTTGTCACTGCTTCTTGGCAATACTGACTTATATCGTCTATAGAAACTGTTCTTGACGCTGATTGGTCAACGTCCGTTTTCTGTTTGGGAGCTCGGCAGCCGCACATGCCGAAAGTAGTTGATAACCGGGTACCACCTGCGACAATTTAAAATCGACACCTTACATTTACTCAGTGAATCGCTCCCCCAATATCGGCGTCACATATGCATATCAGTAAAAGTCATTATTTCAGTTGTAAATCGTGGAGAGCGAAGCCACATGCCATAGAACGGTGAGAGGAACCGTACAAGTCTCGGCTCCATTACTCTCGCCGGGTTGGATTTGAATAGTGGTGTGAGAGCTCGAGCCGATGTTACAGTGCGTCCTGGAATAGTGGCATTTTTAAAAGATTCCGCAGCTCCTGGTGTAATCATGAAAATGGAAGAGGCGAATATAGGTGGCTTAGGTGTCGGAGTTACGGTGGATATACAGAGAACAGATGGTAAGTAGAGGAGACACCGTTATTTTGGATAATTCAATTCTGTCAGTGTTATTCTTATAACTGGCTGTCAGTCCGAGGGAACGGATCGGCCTCTTCTAACAGGAATTTCCTATTAAGATGTAGATCAGATGCGACAGTGATTTTTCACGCCCATTTAATTTTCTCACCGAGATGTTCAGATGCTGTGCTTATTCTGATTATAAAGACGAAATAGACCTCGGCGCAACGGTTGATCGAAGCCAAGACCGAGTCAACGGTAAACTCATAACAGGATTTGAAAAGAGAATGTGGTCTGTTGAATAGCATGCTTTTCAATGGTCTTTTTGCGCCCCTTTTCATCAAAGTGGGACGATAGATTCGTGTCGAAGTTAGTAAAGTGTATAGTTGATCGAGACAGTGACTTTAAAAGAAACTAAGGGTCAAATATCTAAAATACGGCGGAAAATTCTTTTGTCTGGTTCCCTCTCCCACATAAACGCATTTATGTAATTTTTAGATTTAGGATTGGTGATGTTTGCGGCTTGTAGGGAAAGAGAAGGAAATTTGTTTTTCTAATCTTCGATATTTGGTCAACGATATTTTGGTTTCATTAGTTAATCTTCACAATTAAGATCTCAAATGTATGCCTAATTCACAAAGTCATGCATGAATGTTCATAGACATGTGGCTTCATTATGTCGGGCAAACTTAACATCTCGTATTCATCATCTCCCATGCACTCACAATCTCTCAGGCACACTTCTCACTCTCTTT